GGCAGGGTGGGTTTGTCTCTGGTCACCGTGGGAAGGTGCAGTCCATCACGGCGGGGAAGGCAGGGCGGCAGGAGTGTGAAGCAACAGATGTCATCTCATCCAGTCAGGAAGCAGAGAGAGATGAATGCTGATACTCAGCTCACATCTTCCTCTTTACTCAGTCTGTGCGGCTGCCACATTCAGAGTGACTATTTCCTGTTCAGCTACTTTCTGGAAACCTCTCATGGACACTTCCCCAGCTGTATTTCCAAGAGGATTTAAAATCCTGTCAAGTTGGCAAAGAAGATTAATTGTCACAGAAAACAAAACTGGGGGTGATAGTTCTGAAATTGGTGGCCTCGTCATCAATACTGTATTCTTCTCACATGTAACCTTACACATTTGCACTTAGACACCCCAAAAGTCAACCTTCCCTTAAAAGTCAACCCATAGGAGGCTGAAGATTAAAATGTATTTGGAATACATTTTAATGTATTCCAAACCTTCCCTTAACCTTCCCTTAAAAGTCAACCCACAGGAGGCTGAAGATTAAAATGTATTTGGAATACAAGTGAAAATGAGCATAGATTACTGTCACAGCCCTTCCATACTGCGGAGTCCCTGGGCTATGGCACTTCCTGTCCTGTGTGTGAGCAGGACCCTTGTCCAGTGGCAATAATCCTAGGACTCCTGACACCTTAACTGGATCAGCTCTGCTCCTAAATACCGATTATGAAGACAGTACGTTTGAAAGTTTGCTTAAATATTTGAAAATGATCAAAACTAATGGGAGCGATTAGAGTTTGGAGTAATCAGTAAGTACTATGAAGCCTGTTACCAAGTTCCCTTTGCTCCCTAAATGCTGTAATTGTTGGCAACAACAAAACAGATACTTCCATGATCTACTGATGATTCTTTCCTAGATGAAAACTTTTCGGTTCCTCATGATAAAAGAGGAGTTCTTGGAATGGTCAATAAAGGTCGTCATACCAATGGGTCACAGTTCTACATCACACTACAAGCAACTCCCTATCTGGATAAAAAATATGTGGCTTTTGGGTATGTACATTATGTTTTTCTGCATGGTATTCACACATATAAAATGTTGCTCAAAAATATTTGCATCATTATTGTACATAGTCTGATTCGCCAAAAATAGAGCTCAATGATACAAAATAATACAGACACATCTAGCAACAAGTAGTTATAACAAACTTGTTATCCATAAAATACAGAAATTAGGGCTGGCAGGATGGCTCAGTGGGTAAAGGTGCTTGTCGCACAATCCTGATGATACGAGTTCAACTCCTGGAACCCACATAAAGGTGGAAGGAGACACAACTCCATAAAGCTGTCCTCTGATTTCAACACATGTGCCATGTTACATATGCCACACACATACATCACACACTAATAATAATAATTAATGTTAAGTACAGAAATTAACTAAACAGCTGTGGTGATGTTCTGTCTACATATATATATGTGACATATATATATATATATATTTATCAATATGTATCTACATACCCACTTACCTGTCATCTTCAGCCTCCAGATTAATATCAATTCTTAAGACTAATCATACCATAGTGCTTAAAAATATAGAAATAGCTTGATGCAGAAGTGAGAAGTCGATGCTCTTTCACTGTCTGTGAGATTGTCTATGGGTCAATAATAATTATTAGAATGTTAGTAAGAAGCTAATTAGCCCGTGGACCACCATGGGCAATGGATGTACTTTTCATCACTCAGTGTTCTGTTCGATGCTTCGATACTGATGAGCCCAAGAGGGAAGCGAGCAGACTGTCTTGCCCGAGGTGATGCAGTAGACCGTTTTAAACATTTATTAGGCTGTTTCAGTCTCTCCAGAGGGTCATCTATTGCCTCTGCAACTTACAAAGGACTTTCATATCACTGTTCACTTCATCCACAATAATTCCCTTAGTTGAATGCTTTTGGTGGTTCTTCCAGGTTGGGGAGAGTGGCAAATTAATTTTCTTCCAGAAGACAGCGTTCATTAGATGACTTTCCATTCATAGGTTTAGAACTTAATAAGTTGCTTTCAGTTTTCTTCCACATCAATAAAATATTGATTTTCTTTGTTTGTAAAATAGTCTTTTTTTTTGTTTGTGACAATGCATTATGTCAGTCTGTCTGTCTGTTTGTCTGTCTGTCTGTCTGTCTCTCTCTCTCTCTCTCTCTCTCTCTCTCTCTCTCTGTGTGTGTGTGTGTGTGTGTGTGTGTGTGTGTGTGTATTTGACAGGGTCTCACTATGTATCTTTGGCTTTCTTGGAACTCACTCTGCAGACAAGGCTGGCCTCAAACTCAGACATCCTCCTGCCTCTGCCTCCCCAGTTCAAGGATTAAAGGCATGTGCTGAAAATGCATTTTTGAATTAATTTTAGATAACTTTACCTCTTCTCGGATCATTTGAATAACCGTTGTCATCTTGCTGACAGTCTGTACCCCTTCTACCAGTGCCCTGTTGATCCCTTGTACCCCATTAAAGTCGGCTTTCTCGGACACAAACGTGACAGCTTTGACTGTAGTGCCCAGTTACCGCCGCCTCCTGCAGACACACACAGCATCCAGTCCAGCACAGCATCCCTCCCTCTCCTGCCCTACACCTTTCCAGCCACCGTTTTTGCTGTTTTCTTGATTTATCCAATCAGAATTTTATTGGGCACCTGCCATCTGTCACTACTGATGTTTGGAGTAGGAGAGGGTGGCAAGACCAGGGCCTGCCCTTCAGAGACCTTAGATCCCATCAAGAAAGGCAGATAAAAACAAACCAAAGACCCCACCAGAACCAAAGAGAGTGCAAGTGGTTGCTGGGAAGGCTCGAAGTGGGACTGAGAGGACACCCCTCGGTCCCTCGCGGTGTGGGGGGGGCGGCATGTCTGGAGAGCTGTCTTATTGGCAATGATTCCTTGGCTGTTTTAGGGAAATCTCGTTTTTTGTTGTCATTACCACTCTGGCCACAGGGAGGCAGTGTGTCCCCTTTATTGTTTCAGCTCAAGCATAGTCTCAGCTTATCCCTGTACTCTCCTAATGGCAGTTTCCGTCAGGTTGGAATATCTAAGCAGGATCCCACAGAAATGGAGGTGGAGATGGAGAAAGGTAATAGCAAAATAGGCAACCAGTCTAGTTGGGGTAGATGAACTATGTCTTCCTGCCCAGGTGAGGCTGCTGCTGCTTCCCTGGGTTCTCCTAGCATTTCTGCTTCTGCAAGCCCATGTGTGGTTAGCAAGGCCTGGAGACAAGTTTTCTGCTTATCTGAGGCAAGTCCTCTTTCCGAGTTCTAATTTCTGAAGACAGATGATGCTAGGCATGCTTATCAGCAGACTGCAGAAGTCCGCAGTATGGCCTTGCCCAGTGTCCCTCATGGGGAACAATACAAAAATACAAGCTTGTGTCAGGCGGTGGTGACACATGACTTTAATCCCAGCACTCAGGAGACAGAGGCAGGTGGATCTCTGAGTTTGAGGCCAGCCTGGTCTGCAGATCGAGTTCCAGGGCTACACAGAGAAACCCTGTCTCCAAAAAACAAGCAAACAAGTCTTTGTGCTGGAGAGATGGCTCTGTGGTTAAGAGTACTGGCTCCACAGGACCCAGGTTCAATTCCCAGCACCCACATGGCAGCTTACAACTGTCTATAACTGCAGTTCCAGAGAATCCAACACCCTCACAAATAAATGTGCACATAAAACAAATAAAGTGTGTATTTTTTAAATGCAAGCTTGTAAGATTGCTACCCATGCAGATACATGGCAGAGGCATGGGGGAGTATGTGTTGGGGATGGCGGCAGGAGAATTTCATTTCCAGGGGGTCTTAGGGTGGGAAGGAACTGTGGGAGGCTTTGTAAGAATGTGACCCAGATAGCTAAAGTGAAGTAGAAGTTAGCCAGATAGAGAAAGGGGAAATTACAATTAATCAGTTTGTGAAAGCATAAGGCACTCTTAACTCTGCCCTATGGAACAAGAGAGAAGCATGTCCACAACTGAGCTGGTCTAGCCAGAGTGTGAAGCCCCAGGGAGAACAGAGATAGATAGGCTGGAGAAAGGGTTGGACAAGGACCACTGGGCATAGGTGCCATGCGTGCTTCAGGGTGTGGACTTCTTCCAAAGATGATGAGGAACTACGGGAGCATTTTAAATTGTAAGCAACTTGAGCAGTTCATTAGGAAAGATTTCTGTACAGCTCAAGAGTAAACTGGAAAAGAATTTTAAAAAAGTATAGAGTCCAGTTGGGAAGGTCTAGTCATAATGGGTGTAGATGAGGTTCTGTTTACACTGGCAGAAGCAGCAAGCTGGGATGGGGCGGGCAGATACCAGGGGTACTCAGGTGACATTCGTGGAGCTGGATGTGGAAGGTGGGAGCAGGGGCTGGATCAGTGTTCTACAATGGCACTTTCTGCAAAGATGGAAATCTATAGTCTCCACGGCCCTGCACAGCCGCCGCCAGACACCCACGGCCATTGGACACTTAAAATGTGACCAGCGCAACTAAGGAACATACTTAATTGATTCTGAACGTTTTAGATTTTGAGTGTGTGTGTGTGTGTGTGTGTGTGTGTGTGTGTGTGTGTGTGTGTGTGTGTGTGTGTGTTAGTGAGAGAGAGAGAGATTGAGATTGAGATTGCATGTGCCCGCTAAGGCCAGAAGGGGCATTGGATCCCTGGAGCTAGAGTTAGAGATGACTGTGAGCCGTCCAGTGAGGGCGCTGAGCTCTGGTTTGCAGAAGAGCAAGCGCTTTTAACCAGTGAATCATCTCTTCACCCCTTGGTTTTAGATACATTTAAAAAATCGCCTGTTTGAGTGGCCTCCACACTGGCAGGTCTATAGTAACTCCCAGGGGTTGAGAACTGGATAAGTGGTTGGTACCATTCACCAAGAGAGACCACAGAAGGAGCATTTCCAAGAGATCAGGTGAGGCCGGCTAAGTTACATTTAAGATTGATACTTACGGGACACTGGGGGAGAGAGATTCAAGCAGGTCAGGTCTGGATGTAAATTTAGAAGCAGTCTGATTGGTAGCTGAGCTGAAGTCAGAACCTAATATCACCACTCTAGAACAGTCTGTGGACTTGGCTTATCTTGTTCCTTTCTGTCTTGCTTCAGTCAGATGAAATCCTGTTCAAAGATCAGGGCCTAGACCCTGGCAGAGGGCTTCTTGGTCCTCTTTGGCACATTGTGGACAACTTGGAGTAGGGACTGGGTCTTGCATAGACTGTACCCTAGCACCACAGTAGAGAAGCGCACATGTAAGAGCCTCAATATGTGTCAGACCTGTTTGGGAAAAGGCCTTATGCCCTCACTAGACAGGTGAGTCTGCGTTCATCTTCCGCTCACATGTACCTCTGATGCTCTTTGTCTTCATCCATTTCCTCTTGCTATAGCCTAGGTAATTGACAGGTGTTTATTTGGGGGCTAGGAGCATGATCTAAGAGCATGGTGCTGGGCATCTGGTGAAGGCCTGCAAGACTGTGTCATAACATGAAGATAACTCAGTCCTGTGAAAGCCATGGACCATTCATGAGGGCAGATTTCCCAATGACCCAATCACCTCTGAAAGCTCCCTCTTAGTAACACCACAGTGGTGGTTCAGCATGAGCTTTAGGGGTGCATTTAAACAGCACCCTGTGTTGGAGCTTCTGATTGGGATGGCAGAATCAAGCCCAGAGGCAGATGAAGAGGATACACACGTGGTCCGTGTTGGCATTGGCCACGCTGTCAAGGTTCATGCACTAGAAATTGCCCCCTCCTCTCAGCCACTGACCTAACCCAAGCATTGGCAGAAGACACTTCTGTGGCTAGGCCTGTCGCTCTGCCATATCCTGATGGGTTTGTTTGGAGTTTTGTTTATTTGTCTTTGTGTATGTGTGTGTTACAAGTGTATGTTAATGTAGGTGTGTGCCTGAGTGTGTTGGTGCATGATGCACATGCATGTGTGTGAACGAGCATGTGGAAGTCAGTGGTCAATGATGTCTTCCTCTGCTTCTCTCCACCATATGTGTTTTAATTTTAATTAAATAAACATCCAGCTAATAGATAATGAGTTTCAGAACATTTCAGAACATGCTTCCTAAGAAAAATTCACCTTAAGTATGGTGATATCGGTAGTTTAAAAGGTAATGTTAATCAGGGGACTGGAGAGACAGCTCAGTGGTTAAGACTGTATTGCTCTTGCAGAGGACTGGAGTTCTACAGACTCTGACTCTAGCTTCAGAGAAACCATGGCTTCCAAGGGCACCTGCACACACGCATGTACACACACCCACCTAGGCAACTAAAGTTAATAAAAAGAAAAGTGGGCGACTTGGGTTTGTCAATGATTCTGAGATCTGATCCCAAAGACATGAGCAATGCAAGAAGTGATAGGTAAATTGGGATGCCAACAAAATAAGAAACTTTCGCATCAAAGGGCAGCATCCAGAAAGTCAAAAGACACCCTACGCCAACAGCATGGGTGTAAACAAAAAACAAACCCTTATCAGGAGTGGGGGGACAGCCTGCTGTGGAGTGCTTGCCCTGTGTGCATGGGTCCCTAGGGTTCAACCCCAGCACCCCAGCAGAACCTTCTGGAAAAGACCTATGTGTGAGATGCGCACCTTACTTGTTGAGACACCGTACTCACTGAACCTGGAGCTCATCAGTTTGCCTTCGTCTGTCTGTCTAAAGAAGTGCTGGGTCTACACCCGTCTCTCCCCGTGAGACCATACCCTAGCACCACAGTAGAGAGGCGCACATGTAAGAGCCTCAATATGTGTCAGACCTGTTTGGGAAAAGGCCTTATGCCCTCACTAGACAGGTGAGTCTGCGTTCATCTTCCACTCACATGTACCTCTGATGCTCTTTGTCTTCATCCATTTCCTCTTGCTATAGCCTAGGTAATTGACAGGTGTTTATTTGGGGGCTAGGAGCATGGTCTAAGAGCATGGTGCTGGGCGTCTGGTGAAGGCCTGCAAGACTGTGTCATAACATGAAGATAACTCACATCACATTCGTGTTCCACGGTGTCTGGCTTCTAGGTGGGCGTTCGGCTTCCTAACCTGGGTCCTCAGGGTTGTGTGCAGCCACTCCAAGTGAGCCATCTGCCCGGCTCCCACGCTGCTGCCTTCTAGCTGAAAACAAGTCTGGCATTGCTCGTCTGGTGTTCTCGCTCATGGCCAGCGAGGGTCTGCAGAGGCCCACCCAGACTAGCAAGGGCTTGAGTGCTTTATTCGTGTACCCAATGGGCAGTGGTTGGGTGCCTAGCATGTGCCAGGCTTTGAGCAAAAGTGTGCCTCTGCCCTCAAGGGAGAACTAGAAGTTAAAAAATGAATGAGTGAATGAATGAATGAATGAATGATCAAATAAAAGACTTCAGAGCCAGAGGGGTGGCTTGGTGGGTAACAGCACTTGCTGCACAAGTCTGGTGACCTGGAACCCATGATGGAAAAAGAGGAGGAGAAGAAAGTTGTCTTCTCACCTGCATACATGCACACCTCTGCACACTTGCACTCACATAGGCCCTCCCCCCCACACACAGAGAGAGAGAGAGAGAGAGAGAGAGAGAGAGAGAGAGAGAGAGAGAGAGAGAGAGAGAAGTATTAAAACAACAACATTCAACCCCTATAAATACCTCTAATGGTGAGGGGGGACTTAATGTAAGTACAAAGCCCTGAAAACCTTTCCTGAGAAACTGAAGACAGGTGAGAGCTGGTAGGCCAGGAGGTGGCTAGGCCGAGGGAAAGGGCACAGCTATGGCAGGAAGGTAGCACCAGATCCATCAAGCACTGGAGGCCGATCTGCGGGTAGCAGAGCAAGACCTCCCTGGGGCAGTGGGAGGCAGAACAGGGGCCCAGGGCCCAGGGGCCCAGGGGGAGTTCTGGTCCCCATCATCAGATGCTGAGGAAGGGTTCAGAGCGGGGAGGTGACTCCAGGTGTGTAGTTCTGATGGTCCCCTCCTGACTGCAGTGAGGAGGAAGGTTGCCAGGAGGGTGGACGGGTACCAGAGCCAATGCAGAGATGCCGCCTGGAGCTGCAGCAGTGAGCCGCTTCAAGGCGGGAGGGACTGAACAGTGGTGCTGGGCATACATCCGGGCACACCTGGGCACATTTACAGCGGCAGTTAATTTGTAACAGCCTTCGCTGTGGTTGGGTGGGACTCCGTTTGTGAATGTAAACTAAATGTGGAACTTCAAGACTGATCACTTTTTTTATTCCCTCTTATGCAGGCAACTAATCGAAGGAACCGAAGTTCTTAAAGAACTGGAATTAGTTCCAACAGAGAATGAAAGACCAATGCTTCTTTGCAGTATTGCAGACAGTGGAATTCTTTATACCTGATTTTCCCACCAGTCAGATCTTTCTGTGATGGTTTATTACTGTGCATTTGACCAGCTATTTCTATATTTAATTAAATGGTGCTTGATAACATTGGATTCGAAGGCCGTGGCAGATACAATCGTTGGTTCGTATACCAGTCATTGTCTTTCCTCTCCTGCTCCCACCACAGAGACTCTAAGTACAAAATACTCAGTTTCCCAGGCTCCTTTACAGCTGAAAAGGCCATTTGGGAGCACTGTGGCCAGTGGGTCTCGGGAGGACCAGTGATCTTGTTCCCGCTCCTCCATCGTGTCTTGAGTATGGATAGGCTGGGAGCCAAGAGAACTGCTGAGCCAAACCTCACCACCTCCTCTTTCTGGAATTTTTACTACATAAGGCAAGTAGAACTCTGGATTCTCTTCCTGGTTCTATTCCTATTAAGTTGTTGCTTGTGGCCCTGAATGTTATTAACCTAGCAATGTACCTAGTGAGTTTTTAGTCTAAAGCATTTGTAAATGAATTATGCTGTTTGTAACTATATTCCTATCATGATATGCTTGATAAATAACTGACACAATAGAAAAACAATTCAGTGTGAAATTACAGTGCTTACGCATAGCCTGCAGGAAGGACACATGTATTTGGATGTTGTAAACATCATCATGTCTCTGAGCCATTCCAATCATAAGAAAATCGAGAGTTGGGGTTGATCCTTGTGGGTTGGTCCCAGTGAACTGCTGGAGCTCTGTTTTATCAGCTGCTCCATCTGAAGGTCCCTAAGGCTTCATCACTTGTGGGGAAAGCTTTTCAAATATAGACCAGCAGGCCGTGTACTTGACATCCTGAGTCACAGTCCCGAGGAGAGAGAGTCTCAAGATGGAGACGGGAGACTCAATTTAGTTCTGTCTTTCTTAGACAGCTGAGCACCAAGAGATGACAGAATCATCTGACTTCAGCGCCCCTGGTGGCGTCACCATAGCATTGACTCTTACTGGTGATGCTCAGCTCCTCTACTGCCTCTGCCCTTGTGCCTCTCTCAAAGGTGGCTTGTCTTCCAAGGATGATCTCCCCTTAAACCAATTCTGAAAGAGTCAGGCTCTAAACTGATTTGGGGCTTGCGAAAGGTAGGCATTTATTTTTAGATGATTACAGATCCACAGGAAGTTGCAGAAACAGTACAGAGAAGTCTTGTGTACCCTTCACCCAGTTTCCACAGTGTTTCCATCCTATGTAACTATATAGTACAGTATCAAAATAAGCAGCTAACGTTGCTGCAAGTGTGTGATGCCATTGCATCATGGGAAGCTTCGTGTCACATACAATGAAGACCCGCCTCCCCAAAGATCACCCTCAGTCTACCCCTTATTCTCACCCATCCTGTCTTAGTGCTGTATCGCATATACACCAAATACAAAGCTCTAATGGAGTTGAGGAGAAAGAAAAGTGTCCATTCCACATTGTCAACTGACCTGGAGATAGCACAGTGTTAAGAACATGTGCTCTAGAGCTGGACTATGCGGGTTGGAAACCAGGCTCTGCCCTTTCCTACTGCACCAACTTAGGCAAGAACTTCTACGCGCCTTTGTTTCCTAATGTGAAAAACAGCTGGTGTTTTCCAAGGTCAGTAACTAATCTTGTATAAAGAGCCTACAAAGAGGCTTGGCATGCTGTGAGTGCTCAACAGATGGATGCTTTATTTGATATTCAATAAATTACTTATTATAACCTGCAGGATATGGCCTCTGAATGTGTACTCTGTAAATGTTCTCCAAGACTCACCAACAGCCACATCAGATTGGACTCCTTCATCTTCACAGAGCTCTGGGGTAGCTGAGGACCCCAGCTACTCTTTCCTTACTTTGAAATCCCAAAACAGAACCTCACCGTGTAGCCCGGGCTGGCCTTGTGCTCACAATCGTTCTGCCTCGGCCTTCCAAGTCCTGAGATTATAGGCGTGTACTACCATATCTGAAGAGCTAAGCCCTGGCTTTTCTGTGAAGCCCGCAGACCCTCTCTGTGGGACCTGAGCCAGTCCTCAGGCCACTTTTGGTGTTATCACAAAAGGGAACAGGGCTTGCTACCAAGACTTCCCAACCATCGAGACAACCAAACTGAAGCTCCCACGTTTTCCAAGGATCCTGGTTAAAACACATGACCAGCATTGGTGATGCGGTAACAGAGGTCAGGTTTTACTAGTAGGAAAACTGCATCAATGGCCTTACACATTTTATCTGACACTGTGAAAGAGCTAGTATATTCACTGGGTACAAGAAACTCATCCAGTATGGGGCGTAGTGGTCCACACCTGTAATTCCAGCACTGGGGAGGTGGAGGCAGAAGATCGGCCAGCATGGGGTAAATAGTTTTCAAGTCCAGCCTAGGTTACTCGGCGAGTTCAGACCAGCCTGGGATACATGAGAATCTGCCATAAAAAGATTCCTATTTCCTTTAGCAGCAATGAAGGTAGAGTTCTACCAGTCTTCAGAGAGAGCACGTTCATGACCCTTTGCTCTCTTCTGCAGAAACTTTCATTTCAAATGTATATGTGCAGTGCTTCTGAGGATCACCACTTAAAGGTATATATGTTGATACTTCCATTCCGGAGGTAGAGGGAAAAGGGTCAGAAGTTCAAGACTACACTGCGCTACACAGTAGTTTGAGACCACCAGAGACTACTTGAGACCCTGTCTAAAATAAAATTTAAAAAAATCTATCAAATAATAAGAATAAAAAGGGCATTTGCCCCAACTATAAACAGTTACTGATTATGATTACTTGGTAGTGAATGAATGGCCCATCAACATCAAGATTCAAGATTCTTGAATGTTTACATTTTATGGGTATTTTAAGTTAAACACGTTTGTTCTAGACTCACCTTTCCTACAATGGTGATAGTTAACCTCCGGCTGACCTCATTTGTACTAATCATAGAAATAAGAAAGCCACCGTCCATCTCCTGGTCCTAAGATTTCCACGATTCTCTGAGTAAACCTGCAAACCCAACAGCAGCACACTGCTGTATTGGGACTTCACTTTCTTTAGTACAATAGGACTACATCTATTCCATGGTTTGAGGACTGAGAAGCAAGTGAAGAGATTTCTCATGATGCCTGGCATGACAGATACCCAATAAAAACTCGGGACTGTCTTCCTATAAAACCAATTCAGTGATGGTGCATCATCATTTCAAGAGGCATTAAGACCTCGTCATACTGTGTTACCACATGATGCCATATGAATGTCTCAGTCAGTCAAACAAGCTAATTCAAAGGTTTCTTCTCCCATGCTGACTGGTACTCTCTCCTTAGAGACCATACTGTTATTCCCTACCTTCCCAGAATGGAATCACCACCGTTTACACAGGCAAATCTTAAGCTCCCCCATCAGACTTCACACATCATACAAATATAGGTAATAAACTGGACTACAATAATGTACAACATAAATCACAAAGCTGTTCATTAGGGTTTTGTTACTGCACTAAATCACAGCTTCTCTTACTTTAGCGTGTAACAGGATGCTATCTGGCTGTGTTCTAGCTGAAAATAGTACTCCAGGAGAGACCAGAGGAAGCATTGTGGATTTCTCTGTCCACAGGGACATCATAGCTTATGCAGAACATCAGAAAGCTTCCCAGGGCATTACCTCAGCACACGTACTATCCCTAAGGAACAAGTCAAAAGAAGATACCCATTTCTTAAATTAAGAGGTGATGTAGAGAGCTCTAACAAACCCAGAGATAGGCAGAAGAGAAATACAAATCTCCAAGCTGGATGTGTGGTCCATACCTGAGATCCTAGCACTCAGGAGGATGAGTTTCAGCCTGGGATATATAAGTTTAAGACCAGCCTGGGCTATGTAGGAAAAGGGGAAGAAGTCAAACCTCACAGGTACTGGCCGAAGGAGAAGCTGGCTGCGTCCTGTGGCTCTTGTGCCTCCAGTTTTGTGTTGTTTGTATCACAATCTTACATTTGTAAAATCAAAACATGTCTTACTGTAGTTTTGTAGGTGAGTTACTATTCATTGTGGCAGTTCAGGACAGATGAGTTCTGTGCACGGGGTAGTATAATGCAGCCTTCTCAAATGCATAATATACACGTGTACATATCTTCTGGGGACCTTGTGAAAATCAAGTTCTGATTACATTCTGAACAAAACCCTAAGTCTCATAAACCCTATCTGCTCATGGACCACTCTCAAAAGCAAGAGTAAGATGGGAGGTTTCTATCAGAATTGTAGGTTAGAAACACTTGGGGAACGTCTGAAAATCTGATGCCGAGGCCCTTCTGACCCATTATGTCAGTCCCTAGACATCTTTTTGTTTAATGCTCCAATGTGCAATAAAGCTGAGAACTCAAGCACAGTGCTCCCTCTTGAATCAAAGCCCTGGGACTAATATCAGTGAAACATCTACAAAGTGGAGGAGACCCTCCAAGTACGTCTCTGGTATGTTATCAGTCCTAGCCATACATACTATCAAGCTAAGATTCAAAATCTGAAAGATGATTGGTCAAGTGTTGCTGGATCCTAACAGCTCCCTCTGGGTAGGGGGTGAGAAGGCACAGCATCAATGGCTCAGACACTGGGAGTCAGTTGAAGGCAAATGATGAACTCATTTATCTAATAATGGGGAAGGCCTTATATACCCTCCTCCCAGCACCCAGTCTGTGTCACAATCTGGTGGCATTACTTGGTCATCCCTCATTGGCTGGGCACCTCCAGGAACTCTAACATTAATCAGGAACTCTGACAGCGCCTGCTGCTAGGCCCTCAGGCAGACCCCAGGTTGGCTCATAAGGAAGTACATTATGTGCATGCCTTGGCAACTGGTCTGAGCCAATTTCCTCGACCCTATGGGCCTGTCCTACTACAGTCAAAAACACTTGCTGCTTTTCCAGAGGACCTGAGTTCAGTTCCTAGTGCTTATGTTGAGCGGCTCACAACGTCCTGTAACTCCAACTCCAGGGCACCTGATGCCCTCACCTGGCCTCCAGAGACACCTACATACACATGCACACATACCCCCAACCCAACACATAATTTAAAAATTCTTTAAAGATCAGAAATTATTAATGTCATTAATCTTATTTAGAGTCTTTTGCTGGTTTTTGCTGTTGTTACTTTGCATGTTAGGTAAATGTTCTACCCTAGAGCTCCACCTCTAGCTCATTACAGCCCCCCTACTGAAAGTTGTATCTGTGCTAAAATTGTGCCGTGGGGGCCTGAGAGATGGCTCAGTGGTCAAGAGCTCTTGCTTCTGTTGCAGAGGACTGTCACCCACGTGACAACTCAAAAAACCCTCTGTAACTCCAGTTCCAGGGGACCTGCCACCCTCTGCTGGCCTCCCTGGAAAGCAGCTACACGTGTGGTATGCATATATGCAGGTGAACACTCATACACATAAGAAGAACAAATCTTTTTAAAAATTAAAGCCAAGGCTGGCTCAGAAGGTAAAGGCACCATGGCACATTTGCATGTGGACCCACACAAACATAAAATAAATAAATGCAATAAAATACTGCATTACAGAATGCAGCCCTTGCAAATGTAATTTAAAAAACACTGTATTATAGATTCTAGTCCTAGCTTCTCACCCATACCCTCCTGTGCATGTAACTCCCTGGTCCATAGCTAGAGAAGTTCTATTTCCTGGGAGCTACTTGTAGTACCCGCCTCCTGAGCTTAGACACAGCTATTTTTGGCAAGGGTGGACAACTGACCCAAATGAACCAGTTTGCTCATTTCTCCAGCCTTTTCTAAAAAGTAAAAATAATTTAGTGCCTTCTCTAAAGCCCAGCTTCATGACTGCAGTAGGGAATAAGCTGATGAGCACCCTCCGTTTCCCGAGTCCACGATCTAGTAAGAAAGACAAATCGCAAATAAAAGGTGGTACATGCTTTGCTACAGATAAGCACAGCGGAGCACCTGTGGGCTGGGGGACAGGAAGCAGGAGTCCTGGAGGACTTTTAGGGAGAACTTTCTGGAGGGAGTGCATCTTAGCCTGGGAGAAGGGAGAATTGATGCCCAGATGCCAGAAGGGTTGAGTGGTCTAGACAGAACCCTATCAGGATGGTCCAGATGAAAAAGAAACATCAGGGAGGACTGGCAGCCAGGAGCTCCCCTACAGAGGTCTGCTGCTGGTTCAGAGGAGGTTGGTAGCTATGACGGTTAAGTGTCAGCTTGATGCAATCTAGAGTTACTGGGAACTCTCAGGGAGGGACTGTCTGGACAAGGCTGGCCTGCGTTTGTTTCGTGTTCACTGGAATGGGAAGACCCTCCCATCGTGGGCAGCACCATCCCCTGGGCTTGGGAATTCATTCTCTCTCAACTATGGGTAAGACTGACTGCTTCAAGATCCTGCTTCCTAGATTTCTCAGCAATGAAGGACTGTGATGTGGAATTGTAAGCTGAATAAATCCTCTCCACCTTAATGTTTCTTTCGTCGGGATATTTTATCACAGCAACAGGAAATGAGACTAGGTCAGCAATGGGCAGGTTGGGAAATGTTAGGTCAGTTGAGTGCTCTCTTCCAGGAAGTGTAAAAGGAAATGCTAGGCAACAAATGTGGTTAGCGGTCAGGCCTAGGGCTGGCAGGAGTGTGTGGGATTGGGTCCTGAAATGTTCTAGCAAGCCATGTTGACATGCCAAGAATTCTTCCTTTTAAGTTCAAGGCTCACAGACTTTTGGCTTCCCACCTGAAAGATGTATAGCCTACTCCTACATTGAATCACACTAACACCAGCCATGAAGAGGATTCTGTTCCTCACTGTCCGGAAGTGGAGGCGAACTCCTGGTTCTCAAAGACCCACTGGGTACTTGTTATTCTTCCAGCTTTTGCGTAGAGTGTCGGTCTGTTAGTTTGGGGAAAGTGTTTAGAGAAACGATTTTCTTTTGTTTAAAAATATTAGGGGGAGCTCAGGCTGCAGCAGATTCACGAGAGCTACACACAGTTCTGTTGCTCGGGAGAGAAGAACAATGACAATCTGTAATCTTAATTGCAGACCGGGTATCTAAAAGGAAACCACCTGAGGGATGGCTGACCTTCTAAACAGAAATCTAGAACAGTGGTTCTCAACTAAGGCTGGTTATTTACCGCCAGGGAACACTGAAAACGTTAGGGGGAATGTGTTGACACAGAAGGGTATCCCATTTTCTGGCTTCTCCTAGCTAGAGGCCAGGTTCCGATTACCAATAATCACAGCACAGGTAAGAAAGAGTCAGCTAGCCTGCAATCGTAAGAGTGCCAACGTTGAGAAATGAGACAATAAACAGAGTTCTGCTCGCTTATGACCTGAAAATAAATGTTTCTAGAATGATGAAAATAACTTTGCAGCTAAAGTCAGTTCCCTGATCTTGTTCCATTAGATGTCATCAAAATAAACCAAGTCAACCGTTTTCTAGCCTTGAAACTGTCTCCTTATTTCCTTTAAAGACTAAAGGAAATCTGAGGACTAGAGTTGAACACCCAAACGACAAGCTGTTAATCAATGGTCCCCACAGCAGAGTGTGATCATCCTAGGGTACAAACGAGATCATCGATTTGGGAGCAGGAAGCCAAGATGAAACACAGCCTCTGCTCTTAAATCTCCCGATGTTAGAAGCTGAGCGTGTCTTCTTTTAGCCCGGGTGTCATGTGTGGTTTTGAGAGAACAGCAGCTGCTTCTCGGAAGCTCTGGTGATGTCACCTCATTATTGACTGCACTTTCATGCTGCGGGCCACCGATTTGATCGGTCACAACCCACCAGTTTATGTTTTACACTGAGTGTCCCCGCAAAGGGACCACACTGATTCCGGGAGGAAATAAAGGCTTTCAATCCTAGGCTGAAGTTGTAAAAATGCTTCTGCAGTAATTTTTTAAAATTTGTACTACAGTGAAACAAGACATCAATCACTAGGACAGTCAATACTCATGTTACTCGAGTAAATTATGCATAATTAATTGTGACATATTTAAAACACGACAAACGCGAAACAGTTGAGACAGCATTACACAGCGTGCTGGGGCTGGAACCCAGGAACACACGCGTGAAGAGCAATTGTTCTGCCAAATGAGCTACATCCCCACAGAATTTTCAAGTCAGTTTTTTAAATGCATGTCAAGCATTGAGCATTTTGTGAGACTCGGCATCAGATGGCGCTCATGACTACGGAGAGCCTGAACCGCGCCAAAAGGCACCGAAAATGTCAGTTCTGGCACCAGGTGATCCTGGTGTCAGGGTCAGGTCACTTTCCCAAGTCTCAGATTTCCTCGCCTGTGATGGGGGCGGGCGGGCGGGCGGATGGGTGGGTGGGTGGGTGAGAGAGGACTTGTCATCCCTGACCGTCTAACTACAAAGATGGGTTTGGGACAGATCGGACACTACTGCGGCTCTCTCAGCGACTCAGAAGGAGCAGTTTGGGCAAGGGCACCGGTGGCGGTTGTGGTGCGGGGGCGGCGGGGACAGATCACTTTCGGTCCCACCCACGGCCGCCCGCACAGAGCAGGCGGCCCCGGCAGAAACTCTCTGACCACGTGGTTCCGTCATTCCCCACCTCCCAACCCCAGTCCCGGAACACTGCCACACTTAAACATGTATCCGACGTCAAGGAAGAAAAGGCGGCTCCTGCAGAGCCCGAAGCGAGCGCCGCAGCACAACACAGGCTCAGCCGTCCATCAAGCCGGAGTCTCCCAGTTAAACCGAGCCGGGCCGCGCGCCGCCGGGGAGGTCACGTGGGGCCTGGGGCCCGCCTCCCAGGTGGCCGCCCCTCCCTGCGTCACGTGGGCTGTTCCATCCCCGCCAGGGCTGGGGGGGACACGCCCCGGCTGCAGATGCGCGAAGAGACTCCCTGCGTCGCTCGTGGTCCTCCCTCTCGGGCAGAACGAGAAAGACTGCTGGCGGCGCACGGGCTGCGGGGCCACAAAAGCAAGGTGGAGGCGGTTTCCTCCTCCGGCCGCCGCTCCTCCTCCCCTCTCCTGCGGGCTG